AGGAGCAAACTGCTCAGGGTCACACAGGGACTTGTGCCCACGCCTGTATGACCCAAGTCTGGGCCCGGGACTGGTGCCACACTAGCCTGGCCCATTGGCTCTGGCAGTCTGAGTGGAACTGTCATCCGCAAGCCTTCAGACAAATGGCTGCTCCTTCCCGAGGACCCGGTGGCTGTTGGCACCATCAGTGTTTCCAGCTATCCACTGTTTCCAGGACAGACTTAGCTTCCGTCTTCTGCCATCTCCACTTCTTTCCCCTCTGCACCTCTTCCATCTGCCCTCCTCTGGCAGCCTGAAGCACAAGGCCTGATCTACCTTCTTCCTGACACCAGTGGCAATACCTTTGGTCCAGTCATTTGGCTACTGCTCTAAGTCAGGGACAGTCTTTTTTTTTTTTCACTTCAAAGGTTGATTTATTTATTTTAGAGAGAGAGAGAGAGAGCATGAGAATGGCGGGAGGGGCAGAGGGAGAGGGAGAGACAGAGTCTCAAGCAGACTCCTTGCTGAGCGTAGAGCCCAATGCTGAGCTCCATCTCATGACCCTGAGATCATGACCTGAGCCAAAATCAAGAATCGAATGCCTAACTGACTAAGCTACCCAGGCACCCCCAAGGGACAGTCCTTCACCAACTGTTTGTTGAGTACCCAATCTAGTCAGGGCAGGGTGGCTGGGCACCATGTGAATTTCCTCATTCACTAAGCACAGAGAATCCCCAATGGGATTTGTGAAGGGAAGATGGAAGGAAACAAGAAAGTTGGGAGGGAGGGTAGAAGGGAAAGAAGGAGCCCATTAGGTCAGCTGAGCCTCCCAGACCTTAGTTTCCCCCTCACAGTCAAAGAGCCGACTTGGGCTTGACCCTCTGACCAGCCGGGTAGCTGAAAATTGACCCTTTGAGCCTCAGTTTCTTCCTTTGTAAATGGGGCTGATAACAGTTCTGACCCCAGAGGGCTGTTGGGAGAGTCAATAGAACACTTCTACATTTGCACTCACGGGAACCCAGCTGTCAGGTCAACCAAGTGAACCAGCATTGTAAGCTGAGTCTTCAAGAATGATTAGCCTGGGCGCCTGGGTGGCTCAGTTGGTTGGGCGACTGCCTTCGGCTCGGGTCGTGGTCCTGGAGTCCCAGGATTGAGTCCTGCATCGGGCTCCCTGCTCAGCGGGGAGTCTGTTTCTCCCTCTGACCCTCCCCCCTCTCATGCTCTCTCTCTATCTCTCATTCTCTCTCTCAAATAAATAAAAAAAAATCTTTAAAAAAATATTTAAAAAATGAAAAAAAAAAAGAATGATTAGCCCTTGGGGCGCCTGGTTGGCTCAGTCAGACTCTTGATCTGAGCTCAGGTCTTGATCTCTGGGTTGTGAGTTCAAGTGCCAAGTTGGGTTCTGTGTTGGGCATGGAGCCTACTTTAAAAAGAAGAAGAAGTTGGGAGCCTGGGTGGCTCAGTTGGTTAAGCGACTGCCTTCGGCTCAGGTCATGATCCTGGAGTCCGAGGATCGAGTCCCACATCAGGCTCCCTGCTCAGCGAGGAACCTGCTTCTCCCTCTGGCCCACCCCCCTCTCATGTGCTCTCTCTCTCTCTCAAAATAAATAAATCAATCTTTAAAAAAAAAAGAAGAAGGAGGAGGAGAAGGAGGGGGAGGGGGAGAAGGATTAACATTTGCCAGATGGATAAGGTGGTGTTGCTGGGAGGGAATGACAAAGGCATCACAGGCAAAGGACAGAGGACAAAGGAGCAGCAAGGACAGAGGCGGGGGGCTGTGGTGTGGCGCGAGCACTGGTCTTGGGAAGGGAAAGATGCAGGATGTGAGGTTTTGGGCCAGCAGAAGGAGGTCAAGGCAGAGGCTCACCAGCAGGAACCAGATCAGGGTCTAACTTCTAGAACCTCTCTTCCTAGCTGGGTGATGAAGGGCAAGCTACCACTCTCAGGGCCTCGGTGTCCTCACCTGTGAAATGGAACATCTTAGCACGGCTCTGTGGTGCCAGTGAACTCGGTGGTGGGTGTAAATGGGCAGCGCCCAGTGCCAGGCGTACAGTCAGCCTGCCGAGGAGTTCCTTCCATCCCTCGCCCCTTCTTCAGCCACTGTCAGGCTTCTCCTCTGGGCTCCCACACCTCACCCAACCATTGCCATATTCTGGCGTTCTTCTCAGTGCCTCCCCAGGATGCTGCAAGTTGCTTGAGGGCAGGTGCCACCTTTGCATCTCCCTCTCTAGCAGGTGAGCACTCAGGACCCTGTGCTGACTGGGAGAGGAAGAAGAAGCATGTGGTGAGTTCTAGCCAAAGGGTGGTCCAGGAGAAGGACGAGGAGTGAGAGAAGAGGAGAAAGAGGCCACTTTTAACGGAAAGTTCAGGAAAGTGGCACACAAAAGCCAGGTCCAAACGAACATGGTTTGTCTCAGGGGAAGGGGGCTGGTGTGACCAGAAGCCAGACCTGCCATGGGGAGCAATAAAAGTTTTAGAGCAGTAGAGGGGCCCCAGAGACCAGGTATCTTTTCCACTGGGGCTGGGTACATTTTCTGCGTGCTTGTTTAACAACGGTACTCTGCTGCTCAGAGCCTTTGTTCCTCACCTGCGGGGGAGCAACCTTGCAGGGTGATGGTGAGGGCATAGGAAGATGCCATGGCAGAGGCTAGTTCTTGGCACTTGGCCTCTCCTGACTTCACCTTCCATTCCCAGTTTCACCTGTCCAGGTTAAGGGTATGCACAGTGCATTCCAACCGACTTGGGCTCCCTTTCCCTCTGTGTTTCTCTATAGGAGGAGGTAGGTCCCAAGAAAGTTGTATTCTTTCTTTGACCTGGACCTATAGAGCACCAGGCTTAGTGTACACAGTAGGAGCATGGAGCCAGTCACTAGGCCAGACTTCTAAGTCCCCCCATGCCTCTAGGGAGCTAGCTGATGGAGTCCCTCACACATCTGCTGAATGTTTATTGAACACCCACTGCATGCCAGCCCTGGCTGGGGGGAGATAAAAGGCAGACAGAACCTTGATTGCAGGAAGCTTATCATCTTGTCCCTCCCAACCCATGTCAAGCCTGGGCTCTGAGGACACTGTGTGGAAGGCCAACCCCAACCCATTCCAGGCTACATAATCTCTAGTTCTTTTCTCTCCTTTCATGGGAAACCCATTGCTCTGAGAATGGGGAAAAACTCCTTCACAAGGCCTAAATGTGTCCTGAAGTTGGACCCTTCTCTCTCTCTCTTTTTTAAGATTTTATTTATTTATTTATTTATTTATTAAGATTTCATTTATTTATTTGCCAGAGAGAGACACAGCGAGAGAGGGAACACAAGCAGGGGGAGTGGGAGAGGGAGAAGCAGGCTTCCTGTGGAGCAGGGAGCCCGATGTAGGGCTCGATCCCAGGACCCTGGGATCATGACCTGAGCCAAAGGCAGACGCTTAACGACTGAGCCACCCAGGCGCCCCTGGACCGTTCTCTTGGCCTGCACTGCTATCCGGCGTCCAAACCACCACCAGTTTTGCTGATTGGCTACAATAGGCTTCCAAATGGCCCTTACTCCCCTGCTTATCCCTCTCCATTCTTCATTCTCCAATCATAGGACTTTCCTTAAACATGTACATCTGACGATGTGGCTGCTACACACATCCACCGAGGGTCTCTCGCAGAGTATAGAAAAAAGGCCAAACCCCTCCTGTTCTTTTAAGGCTGTCCTGGTCTGTCACCTGCCTCCCTTGCTCCCTATTAACTTCTTATTCCATTCTGGCCAACCAGACAGCCTCATGGCCTTTGCCAGTGTCTTTTCTCCTGCTTGAAACAATCTCCTACCAGTCTCTCAGCTGCTCCATTCTATCCTTCAAGTTCCACAGTTGGCCCTGAAGCCAGCAGGTCAGTCTCTGTTCCTAGCTGGCTGCATGAACTTGGGCAAATCATTAGCCTTCTCTATGCTTCTGTTTCCTGTGAGATGTGTTGTTAATGGTAGCCATCTCATAGAGTGGTTTCAAAGATTAAGGAAAATAAGGCACAAGAGGGGACAGCTGGCGTTTGAGGTTCCAGTGTTAGCTGTTATTTTACTATTTCCTCAGTGAGGCTTCCCTGACTTCCCAATGAAAAGTAGGTCTCCACTGGGCGCCTGGGTGGCTCTGTTGGTTGAGCAACTGCCTTCTACTCAAGGTCATGATCCTGGAATTCCAGGATCGAGTCTCACATGGGGCTCCCTGCTCAGCGGGGAGTCTGCTTCTCCCTCTGACCCTCCCCCCTCTCGTGCTGCTCTCTCTCTCAAATAAATAAATAAAATCTTTTTTTTTTTTTTTTTAAAGTAGGTCTCCAGGGCACCTGGGTGGCTCAGACGTTAAGCGTCTGCCTTCGGCTCAGGTCATGATCCCGGGGTCCTGGGATCAAGCCCCGCATCCGTCTCCCTGCTCCTCCGGAAGCCTGCTTCTCCCTCTCCCACTCCCCCTGCTTGTGTTCCCTCTCTCGTTGTGTCTCTCTCTGTCAAATAAACTCTTAAAAAAAAAAAGTAGATCCCCACAGTCACTTTCCCATCAACCAGGTTTCACCCAGGTTTCTTTTCTTTTCTTTAAGATTTTATTTATTTGACAGAGAGAGAGAGAGAGAAAGAGAATAAGCAGGGGAAACAGCAGAGGGAGAGGGAGAAGCAGGCTCCCTGCAGAGCATGAAGTCCCATGCGGGACTTTATCCCAGGATCCTGGTTTCATTACCTGAGCTGAAGGCAGACGCTTTACTGACTGAGCCACCCAGGCGCCCCTCAGTTTCCTTTTCTTCACAGCACTTATCATTGTCAAATATAATCTTGGTTATTCAATGATCTTATGCAACCAATATTTATTGTGCACCTACTATGTGCCAAGCACTTTTGTAATTGCCTCCGGATATTGGACGTCCAGTCAAGTCAGGGTGTCTGCCAGTACCGTTCATCTGTGTTCGCCCAGTACCGTAGCGGCACATAGTAGGCACTTCGCACGTCGCCCGCCCCTCCCCCACTTCAGGAAGTGCGGGGGCTGCAGCCGCCCGGCGGACCGCGATGCATTCTGGGAAAGCAGCAGCACCAGATCCAAGATGGCGGCCAGCAGGAGGCTGATGAAGGTAAAAGCCATTCTCCGGCGCCGGCCGGGCGGGGGGGGCGGCGTCCCGGCCCGGGGTCTCCGCGGCGGGCCGGGACTCCTCGGGGCGTCGCCGCTCGGTTTCCCGTCCCTGTGTGGCCCCACCGCCCCCCTGCCCGCACGCGGGCTGAGGGAGGTAACGGGGCCGCCTAGGCCGCAGCCTGGGCGGGAGCGCCAGGCCGCGCTGGGAGCTGCCGCTGGCCCCTCCGCCCGGTTTCGGGCGTTCACGTCGCCCTCCGCCCGGAACCGGGCCAGGTCCTCCTCGCGGTGGCCGCCTCCCGGGCCGGGGGCGGTGTTGATGTGGGGGCCCGGCCGGGAGGTCCCAAACCGGGCGCCCGCGGGGAAGGCCCGAGCGCCGGAGCTCCGGCCGGGAGCCCGCGCCGCGGAACCGCCCCGCCCTGGGCCGCAGCGCGCCGGCTTTAGAGCTCCGGAGGCCGGGAGGTTGGGAGGCTCGGGCTGGGGAAGGAAGGAGGAGGCCAGGCGACAAAAGTTAGGTCAGTTTGTTGGTGGGTCGTTTGAAATTGCTCTGGGTCCTAGCAAACTGTCGCCTTGTGACTGCGGAGTCACACAGCGGGCAAGTTCCAACTCCAGGAAGGCGTGGGGTCGACCGCGTTCGCGGCGCTGTTCTTCCCCGTCTCCTTTTCAACCTACCACTTATAATCATCAGGATCTCCTTTCCCTGCTGAAGCAAAAGTGCCATTTTGGGGGATGGGGTGGGGGTTGGCTTCAGTCGTTCGAACCCAAACTGGCCAAAGTTTATAAAAATAACTTGGTACTTTGTATCTTGGATGCAGCGGGGTGCCTTCTTGCTAAGTGGCTCCTTTGGTGAGGAATACACATGCTAAACTGGCTTGGTTCTTTCCCGAGTATGTTTGCCGGCCGGCCGACCTCGCCAAGATTTGTGAGTCCGCGCCTGGATAGTGCTGCCGGGTTGCACCGGGCCGGAAATAAAAAAGACCCAGGAGCTGATTTCCTGAGAGGAGATAAAGAGCTGGGGTTCCTCTTGGGCTTGGTGGAACTAGACATTGAACTTGGAGTCACAGCCTCTGGGCCCTCCCTCCCTGGGAACGTTTCCTTTCTTTTGTTCACTAAGGGCTGGGGACAGCATTTAACTTCATAAAACTGGATTGGAAGTGGGCACAAAAGAATAGTCAGCAGATTCCAGACTTCTTCTCATCTTTTTTCTACCGGTGACACCACCATTCACCCACCAGTCATCCAGATGGGAGGACTGTTATTCACTTATTTCCGTACTCTACTGCAGTCGCCCATTAAGACTTGTGGATTTTACTTTAGAGAGAGTTCTTGAGTGTGCTTTCCTTCTTAGTCTTACAGCAATTACCAGAATCCATATCCTCATCTCAGATGCCTTTCCAAGTACTACTCTTCTCCTCTGACTCCCCTTCTTGGACACCAAAGTTCTTTTTCTAAAGCAGATATTTAATCTTTTCACTCCTGTAGAAGTCTCTGTGATCTTATTGTCCTCAGCAGTTAATCCTAACTTTTTATTTGGCAGTCTTCTTATGCTGGCTGAAAGTAATCTGTTTAGCCTCACCCCCCTACCCCTTATTTTCCCACTACCCTTGCAAATCATAGTAGCTACCTTTTTTTTTTTTTAAAGCTGTTACTTTGTGCAGCCCTGTACTTCACATTCGTAATCATGTTTCATCTTCCCTGAAAAGTAGACATTCCCATTTTGTAGGTGGGAAAATGGAATGCTGAGAGATTTTGTTGTCTTGCCCCAGTTTTCCTACCTTGGGAGAGTGAGCTGCAATCTCACTTCTGTTTGATTCCAGAGCCCCCTGCTCTTACTCAGTTGCTATAGGGTCTTCCTTTGCACTTGCTTGGGGAAAGGCTGCCTTCCCCTTGCCTCTCCTCCCTTCCAGGGAAATCCTAGGTTCACTTCCAATGTCAGCTACTCTGTGAGGCCTTTGCCCCCATCCCCCTTCAGAATAAGTTGTTTCCTCCTTTTTGTGACCACAAGCACTTTCTTTGTGTTTCTCTTTGAGAGATTTTGTCCCAGTCAGATTTGTGTTAGACTTGCCTTTCCTACTGGGTTCTGAGCTCCTCAAGGACAGGAATCTTGACCTAATTCATCCCTGTATGGTATCCCCTAGTCTACCCCATTTGACCTAGTTTGGGGTTCCCAGGCTTCCAGGGGTCTGAGAGGGGAGTTAACTGTGGTTTTTAAATTATTTTTGTGTTTAAAAAAAATTGGAGCTTAGAGAAAATGTGTCATATAACTGAGTGCTTTTAAGTGCTAGATCATTTACATTAATTCTTTTCAATAACACTTAGAGTTAGCGTATTGTCATCTTTATTTTACAAATGAGAGAATTGTGAGGCTTTGATAGGTTGAGTGCTACCTAAGGTGGAGTAGAAAGTCGACCGGGGTGGGGAGAGATAAGAAGTTAAATCTCCCTAGCTTCAAATCCCAAGGTCCACGCCCCTTTCTTACTCCAAGGATGCTTGGAAGACTATGTAGTTTATTGAGTTGTGGATGGAAATTCTTTCAGTTCACTAGAGGAATGCTGGTTACATGATGCAGGTCATTGGCTCTGAGAGTCAGGGTTTAAGCTGGTTAGTTTGAAAAACAAACCCAAAATACTATTTTTTTTAAAGACTTTTTTTAAATTTATTTGAGAGAGAGAATGAGAGAGAGCACAAGAGGGAAGAGGGTCAGAGGGAGAAGCAGACTCCCTGCTGAGCAGGGAGCCCGATGTGGGACTCGATCCAGGGACTCCAGGATTATGACCTGAGCCGAAGGCAGTCGCTTAACCAACTGAGCCACTCAGGTGCCCCAAACCCAAATTATTGATGCATGTCAATCAATATGTGGATTGGAAATAATAAAAGGTGTTTTCAGTGATGAAACATGTTGAAAAATCAAATGAATTACATCTTTTTTTTTAAAGATTTTTTTTTTTTTATTCATTTGAGATAGAGACAGAGAGAGAGCATGAGCAGGGGGAGGTGCAGAGGGAGAGGGAGAAGCAGGCTCTCCGCTTAGCAGGGAGCTGGATGTGGGACTCTTGATCGAAGGACCCTGGGACCATGACCTGAGCCGAAGGCAGAGGCTTAACCATCTGAGCCACCGAGACGCCCCAAATGAATTACATCTTTTTTTTTTTAAGATTTTATTTATTTATTTATTTATTTTTTACAGGGAGAGACACAGGGAGAGAGGGAACACAAGCAGGGAAGTGGGAGAGGGAGAAGCAGGCTCCCCTCTGAGCAGGGAGCCCGATGCGGGGCTCGATCCCAGGACCCTGGGATCATGACCTGAGCCGAAGGTAGACGCTTAACGACTGAGCCACCCAGGCGCCCCCCAAATGAATTACATCTTAAAGAACTTTAGATTTCCTCAAAAACTATTATCCAGGACACTCACAGTCAAAGATTTCTTTGTAAAATCTTTGTAACAATGGACTGTTTGCAGATAGTATAAGATACATTATTAAAAGTAGAGTGATTTGCATATATTGGGCTGAGAAGTTATTTCAGGCAGGGTGAGTATGATTAAGTCTTTAATTTAAAAAGCATTTGCCAGGGCGCCTGGGTGGCTCAGTCGTTAAGCGTCTGTCTTCGGCTCAGGTCATGATCCCAGGGTCCTGGAATCAAGCCCCACATCGGGCTCCCTGCTCAGCGGGGAGCCTGCTTCTCCCTCTCCCACTCCCCCTGCTTGTGTTCCTGCTCTCACTGTCTCCCTCTGTCAAATAAATAAATACAATCTTAAAAAAAAAAACAAAAAGCATTTGCCAGGTGCCTAGGTGGCTCAGTTGGTTAGGCGTCTGCCTTTGGCTCAGGTCGTGGTCCCAGGCTCCTGAGAGTCCCACTTCGGGCTCCCTGCTCAGCGGGGAGTCTACTTCTCCCTCTGCCCCTTCCCCTGCGCTCTCTCTCTCTCAAAAATAAATAATCTTAAAAAAAAAATAAAAAGCATTTGCCAAAAGGAGTAGCCTTTTTCACATCCCTTTTTAGGACTTACAATGTTAATAAAACATTAAATACATATTAATTTGAACCAGCAAATTCAGCATTGATGGCAACAATGGGAATGTAACCATTGCTTCTTTTTTTTTTTTTTAAAGATTTATTTATTTGAGAGAGCGAGAATGAGAGAGAGAGAGAGTACATGAGAGGGAGGAGGGTCAGAGGGAGAAGCAGGCTCCCCGCTGAGCAGGGAGCCCGACGTGGGACTCGATCCCGGGACTCCAGGATCATGACCTGAGCTGAAGGCAGTCGCTTAACCAACTGAGCCACCCAGGCGCCCCTGTAACCATTGCTTCTATCAGGAAGAGAAATAGCTACAGAAGTGAAACCTGTAGCTGTGGTTAAGGAAATTGATTGTAGTCTGATCATTTCTTTCTTTTTTTTTTTAAGATTTTATTTATTTATTCATGAGAGAGAGGGGCGGGGCAGAGGGAGAAGCAGGCTCCCAAGGAGCAGGGAGCCCGATGTGGGACTTGATCCCAGGACTCTGGGATCATGACCTGGGCTGAAGGCAGATGCTTAACCATCTGAGCCACCCAGGCACCTGTGCAGTCTGATCATTTCTTTTCAGCCTCTGAGTTGCACACATCTCCCCTAAGGGCCCTCCAGCTGAGAGTATCTTCCCAGAGGGGCTTTTCTAAGCGAGGAAAGTTGTGGATTTAAGAAGCAGGGGTGACATTTTATTAGTTATTACGGTGTAACTGTTAAGATAAGGAATTGAGATTTGTAAGAGCCCTTTTTTTTTTTTTAAAGATTTTATTTGAGAGACAGTGAGAGAGAGCATGAGAGGGGAGAGGGTCAGAGGGAGAAGCAGACTCCCCACTGGGCGGGGAGCCGATGGTGGGACTCGATCCTGGGACTCCAGGATCATGACCCGAGCCGAAGGCAGCTGCTTAACCAACTGAGCCACCCAGGCACCCTGTAACAGCCTTTTAATGCTATTTAAATAATGTTCAGTCAGAGGGTGCCTGGGCTGCTCTATCGGCGTCCTAC